GCATCCACGCTTCGAGACCGTTCCAGAGATGATCGCTCGTCCAAAAATCAGCCAAAACGAGTGGAAAACGGCCGAGATATGAGGCTTTTGAAGTTTGGAATTTCGCTCTCTTGTCCTGCCCTGGCGGCGACGGCGCGGCGAAGAAGTCGCCGCCGGCGTTCCAGACCTCCTCGAGCGCCGCGTAGCGGTCGCGGTCGAGCTCGGACTGGTCGCCGTCGCCCGTGGGGGCGCCGTAGGCCGGGTGCGTCGCGCAGGCGCCGACGACGGCGGGCGCGTAGCGCCGCGCGCTGTCGACGGCCCGCTCGACGTGCGCCGCGACGCCCGCGGCGAGCAGGCGCGCGCGCTCGCGCTCCGCGCAGGCGGCGAAGAGCCGCCACTCCGTCGCGCGCGGGTCGACCTTCAGGGCCGCGCCGGCGGCCAGGTCGCCGGCGGCGACGACGTCGACGCGGTCGCGCGCGGCGACGACGCGCGCCGTAAACGCCGCGGGCGCCGGGTCCGCGACGAGCAGCGCGCCCGCGGCGCCGAGGACGCAGTGCTCGTGCGCGCCCACCTGCACCGTGTCGCCGCGGTGGATGGGCAGCATCGTCGCGTCGGTCTTGGCAATCGTGAGCAGGACGGTGCCTTTGGTGGTTGCTTCCGCGGCGTAGAGCTCGTCCTCGCCGTCGTCGCCGGCGCGCGTCGCGATCGCGACGTGCCAGAGGTGCCGTGCTGCGGTCGATTCGTCGGTCGACGACGCGGTCGCGCTGGCTGCGGGCGCTGTGGAGGCCGCCATGCTCTCTGGCCGGCGAGCTGCCACAAGCCGAGCTTTGCCACTTCACCTTCGGCGCGCGCGGCCGGCCGGCTTGGTGGCGAGGCGAGGCGAGCCAACACTACCATGGGACTGGAGCTGCCACACCGACCGCAGGTTAGGCCGGTCCCTGTGGTACTTCTCTGTTTTATGTACGTAGAAGTCTCGATGGGCGACCACGAGTGCACGCGCATGACAATCACCTTTTTTTTTCTCACACGATCGTCAGGTCCGAGCAGGAGCTCCACACCTGCGTGGACTCCTCACAGTCCCAGCGCCAGCCGAGCACGTACTTGCCCGGCGCGAGCGTCGCCGGAATGTGCACCTTGTCCACGATCTCCACCATGTCGTTCCAATCGCCAGAGCACCTGCACACGCCCTCCTTGGGCGCCTTGTCGTGTGAGCTCTTGCACTCCTCGGATTCCTCGCAGACGGGCTCGAACGACTACATGTTCCACTCGTTGACGGTGCGAGGGATCGGGATCTTGCGCCACATCGAGTCCTTCGGGACGGTGCCGACGCTCACCTCCCACCCCTTCGCGGTGCTGTTGAAGTACTGCCGCTCGCCCCCCACGCCGCCCCAGCGCAGCGACGAGTTGCCCGTAAAGTTCAGGTGCGTCTTCTGGAAGCAGTCCTCGTTGAGCTCGCGGCCGGCCTCGCAGAGCCGGTAGGCGTAGCCGCCGCCGTGCCACGCCTTGAGAGCCCACGCCACCTCGACGTCCGAGCCGGCTTTCCAGACGGTCCCCGTGGGAAGCGGCGGGAGCTTCGAGCCGCTGTCGCCCACCTTGGCGTTGATCGTCTCGACGTAGCTGGCCCCCGCGGAGCCCTGGCCCTGGCCCGGGAGACGGCCGCCCGCGGTCCCGCAGCTGTCGATCACCGGAGCGACGCCGGGGGAGCGCCACGGCGTGTAGTACCAGAAGTCGTCGGCCGCTCCGCACTCGGCGTTCGTGTTGATCGTCCGAAGCTTGCGGTCGCAGATCGTGGGCTCGCGGTCCGGAAACTTGACGTGCGCCG